GTTTTGTATTGCTATAATTCTACTCAGGTAACATTAGTTTTACAAATGGCATGTGTTGATGTGTTTTGTATTGCTATAATTCTACTCAGGTAACATTAGTTTTACAAATGGCATGTGTTGATGTGTTTTGTATTGCTATAATTCTACTCAGGTAACATTAGTTTTACAAATGCTATACGTTGATATGTTTTCTATTGTTATAATTCTACTTATATGACTTTACGTTTATGAATGGTATACGTTGATATGTTTTGTATTGTTATAATTCTACTTATGTAACTTTACTTTTTTAAATGGCATTTATTGATTTCTTTTGTATTGTTATAACTTTATTTAAGTATCACATGTGGGTGTGTTTTATATCGATATAATTCTACATAGATAATTTTAGTTTTGTGAATGATATTTGTTGATGTATTTTGTGTTGTTAGTATTTTATCTGGGTAATTTTTCTTTTATAAATGGTTTGTGTTGATAATTTTTTATAGGATCGCACAGAAATTTGCTCAAACTTTAATAGAACATTCGGGCAAAACTAGCTTAAAAAAGCAGACTTGTTATTGAAACAACACTCAAAACCTTCCTTTTCAATAGTTAAGACCACTTAAATATTGAGAATAAGCAAAATATGTGGTTTCACGATTGTTAGACAAAATCAAATTTTGCTCATTTGTTCATATTATTATTATTCATATTACTGTTTCACAAGCCTACAGTAAAATCGGATGGGTATTTTGCACCAAACCCAAGACAGAGATATTATATGGAACGCTGCGAATGTCCATGATCTATTTAAAAGTTGATTATTTTACAATGAAAGTTGATTTAAATACTTTTATATACATAACTGATGCGATGAAGTTATGAGAGGCTGCTTTTGTACCCCACGCGTGTTTACACAAAACTTCAGTCAGAAAGCCCCCTGGATCAGCAAATAATTACTTTAAACGACACAAAACTTGATTTAAAGCAGTGTGTTAGGAGTATATATTTTTTTTAGTTGAAAAGGCTGCTTTTCTACTGGGAAAATTTTATATGTGGTTAGTGTGGATTGTGTCTTACTCTAGGAATACATTTGCCCATTGCTGAGCAATAACAAAGCCAACATACAAGATAACTAAAAATTGAGAATTTAAAATCTAAAAATAGTGATTGCAAAGAAGTAAGCAAACAAGGCTGAATATCTATTGCTGACAGTTTGCTGATTTGTTTATAAATTCCTATTGTAATTCCACTATCAAATAATTGCAAGTGATATCTACTTTAGTGTGGAATCGCACAGGAATTTTGCAAAAAATAAACTGAGAGAGTAGTTTTAAACTTAATTCAACCTAATTAATTCAGTCGTGTTGCAAACGTTTCTAAGTCCTTCACTTTCTGCCATCAAAAAATCTGGTGTTTTTATATCGTGCATGCTAGCTGGAAACTACAACTTGTGCATTTTCTAGAACATTAATTGGAAACTGTCACGTCAAAGTTTCCCTATTTTGCTGTTGTATATCTTTACTCGAGTCGCTATTGTTTATCGTTACTCGAGTTTGCTGTCTCTACTTCGATGTCCGCGACTATATTTCAGCAAGTTTTTAACACTGGACGATTACCATAGTAGGTTTCCCCACTCAGACGAAGGTGGGGATTCTGTCTATTGTTTCTTATACTTAGATGAAATCGTGAATGTGTATTCAGTATTTATTACCATTGCATATAACACTATTTCATATAACTATTGCTATTTTTAAATAGTTGGTCTTAAGGTAGCGGTTGTAAATGTTATTGATATTTGGCGATTTACGCTAAGGGTGTTGTTGTTGTCTATTTCGCATGAATTATTCGTGTTGCCTTATTCTAGCACACATTTATGCACAGCAGGCTGTAGACGAACAAACATATGTGTCATTTAGACCTAACAAAGTAAGTATGTTACTGAGTCTGTTTACATTGCATTAGTCTGTGTTGTATTATCTTAGAAGAAACATTATTCCATCCTGATGGGATTGCTTTGTTGCTGTTCGTCTTTTGTTACTTTACACTGTTACATTGAGGAAAGCCGATCATTAAATCTGTGATGATATAATTTTTGCCTTCAGGAGAACAACTTTACATTTTGTTTGCTGTAGTTGCATACCAATACGTGTGTTTATTCTCTGTTGTACATTTGTTATCTATTTTGAATAAGACTACCGTGGTGGTTAGGTGGAAAAAAAGCCAATACAGGAGTAAACTGTTGAAAACATGCAACATTTAACTGAACGCATATGCACGTATGTAGCTTAAAATTTATTCTCCATAAATAGACATAATAAAAATTAAGAAATGAGATTAGTAAAAATTGTTAATTTAATTAAGAAGAGGAAATAGAAATGGTCAAAACTACAGAAACAAGTTGAATCAAAAGATTATGTTTTCAAGCCTACAACTAGGCACTCTAAAAAGAAATAAAGTAGTGTAGAAATAGTGTCTACATCATTTTCTCAAGCTACAAATCCCTATTTTGACTCCATGTATACAGTACTTATCAATTTTATTGGAGTCAAAATAGGGATTTTTAGGTTGAGAAAATAATGTAGACACTATTTCCGGCCTAGTTTGTTTACTTTTTTTTTAGAGTCCCTAGTTGTAGGCTTGAAAATATAATCTTTGCATTTTGATTCAACTTGTTTCTGTACTTCTTTGACGATCCCCATTCCCCCTTTTTAAATTAACAAGTTTTACTAATCTTATTGTAATAATTCTACTTAGGTAACTTTACTTTTACATATTACATGTGTTCATGATACTTGTATTGTTATAATTGTGCGTAGATAGTTTTACTTTGAGAACTGGGGTGTGCTAATGTTAACCAAAAACAGCAGTTTGATTTGCTATATGTTTTATTGATGAATAAAACGATTTTTTTGTATGACAGAGAACAACTCTATGTGTTAGTTACAGGCTTTGTGTGTTTCTCACAGATAAACTAATTCTTTCATAAACGTTAAGATATTCTCCATCCGTATTAATATCAAGTATCACACGCGAATAGATATTATTTTGTCCAAACATTGGCCCATACTTTGGTTACAAGCAGGGTACATCTAACTCCATCTTAATAAATTTGGTGACATTAAACTGAACAACAACAAAAACAAACACACTAATAAAACTACATTGAATCTCGTGTATTCACTTTGGTTAGTCTATAAATGGTGATATAAATTAGGATTGCTCCTCCTCTGTAAAAGATCCGAGAATCCTCTGGTGGAAGTCATCTACTTTTCAGCCATGGGAACCTGTAGGATACTGCCAGAGTCCTGGTTGGTGGGCACCCAGGTTTTGTGTTTGATACGGATTAAGGAGAGGTTACCTTCAGCCTGGTCCGCTCGGTCTTCGGCTGACTCGAGCTCTCGCTGAAACCTTCGGACTCGTGCCTGGTTCTGCTGAGCCACACCTTCCTATAAATTCAAACAATCAGTGATTAAAATTATTAGACTTGATGAAACGTTTTGTACGTTCCTGACAGCTCAATACGAGCTGTAAATATCTGTGTATGATGTCCTGATCAAGGTCCTTTGGACAAACTATTGACAAAGTGGGTTTTCTTCCCATAGAAATCGTTTGATCGAAAGTTTGTCCATATTTATTTTTCTCTTTCGGTGACTTTTTAAACAAAGTACTCTACAATACTGCATTCTCTCATAACAGTTATGTTCACCATTACTTTCCGCAAACTGAATGAATTCACTTTAATTTTCCAGGTAATAAAAACGTAGCAATTCTTGATAGCTTGTTAATGTTATCACATATGAGATAGTAATCCTTGATAATATATATAACATTATCTCATATCAGGTGGTAATCCTTGATAAGATATATAACGTTATCACATATCAGGTGGTAATCCTTGATAACATATATATAACGTTATCACATATCAGGTAGTAATCCTTGATAAGATATATAACGTTATCACGCTACAGATAGTAAACCTAAATAAGTTAGATAACATTACCATGCATAAGGTGATAACCCTCGATAAAATAGATAACATCACCACGCATCAGGTGCTAACCATTAATAACATGGATAACATTACCTCGCATAAAATAGTAACCCTTGATAACATGGATAACATTACCTCGCATAAGATAGTAACCCTTGATAATATGCGAGGTAATGTTATCCATGTTATCAAGGGTACTATCTTATGCGAGGTAATGTTATCCATATGATATTTTATTCAAATAAAGAATGATGAACGATTGAGTGACGTAATCTGTTATAGGAAACATAACACTTGATTTTATATCATTAATGTTTTTTTATTATTAAAAATGAGGAGAAAAAATATGCAATAAATATCTTGCTATAGTTAATTCAAAGAATAGGTTAATATCTACCTGATTCAGGATTAAACAGACATTTGATTCAAATAGAATAAGTTCCAAAATATTTGGTATAGTTGACGTATAGGTTAATCTCCTGATATATGTTTGTTTGGTCCATCGACTCATCAAGAGATTAACTTCGCCAAAATCCATGATGTAATAATCTATGTAACTTAACCCTACGTGCTACAATATCCCAGGTCGATAACAATGAAGGAAACAATAACAGATTTGGTGAGAACTCAGGGATTTTAGCAGATTAGGAATTCCTTACTCTCTTACTAAACCTTATTATTGAGGTTATAAAGCCGGTAACGTTGCGCTAATCCTGTCTTTTATTACCGAACAGTTTTAATGAGAACTGTGTCGTATTGATGTAAAATATATTTTAAAAACGAATCACGCCACATCGATGTTTGAAAACTTTGTTTCCAAAATTAAAATAATCCAGGATAACTAGGGCGAAGAGACTTGAATCTTTTTTTTTATATATAAAAAACAATTGACATCTTGTCTCCGAAACTAATCTTCCAGTCAAGATTGTCTAACGTCAGGTAAACTAGTAACTGCTTAACAATCAGAGCAGGGTCTTTCTCTTTTATACGGTGTAAATAAAGCTGTACGTAAAGTTAAATGTCCTGAATCTAATGCGCTTATGTTGGAAGACCGGCCTGTATTTCTGGATATAAAACACAAATATCGCAAAGCTGATGATGTATTTAAAGTTGAAAGCGTGGGAGATGTAGATACCTTAAAAATAACTTGTTTCTAACCAAATATATATATAGTCCCTATTTATTAAACAATGTAGATACCTTAAAAATAACTTGTCTCTAACCAAATATATATAATCCCTATTCATTAAACAATGTAGATACCTTAAAAATAACTTGTCTCTAACCAAATATATATAGTCCCTATTCATTAAACAATGTAGATACCTTAAAAATAACTTGTCTCTAACCAAATATATATAGCCCCTAGTTATTAAACAATGTAGATACCTTAAAAATAACTTGTCTCTAACCAAATATATATAATCCCTATTCATTAAACAATGTAGATACCTTAAAAATAACTTGTCTCTAACCAAGTATATATAGTCCCTATTTATTAAACAATGTAGATACCTTAAAAATAACTTGTCTCTAACCAAATATATATAGTCCCTATTTATTAAACAATGTAGGTACCTTAAAAATAACTTGTCTCTAACCAAATATATATATATACACCTGGAAAAAAGTTAAGCACCCCGTGTTTTTT